GTAAGGCTCTGCTTTAGATGTTAGCTCCTTTTATAAGATTATCGTCCAATCCGCCCAACATTACTGGGTAAAATGCTGCCTCAACTGTGACTGAGCCTCCACTATGAATTACACTGCCACTTTTTCTTTTTCTCCACATTGTCCAGTTTCCTCTGTTTTTTAAGGACAAACTGCACATCATACTGAGATATGTCAAGTCAAAGATTAAGGTATACAAGATAAACCAGACATTTTAGGAACCACCTTGTTGGTACAAAATTTTTATTTTGTGTCGGTTAAACTATATTATCATATTTCATAGAGTCAACTACAAAGCAAATTATGTATTATGTACATACCTGTGGCTCATTCCTAGAGTTTGGTGGCATTTGTATGTTTGAAGGAGTCATTGTTTGGTGTTAAGTTGTTCAAGCAACAAACAAAAGACACAAATATAGACAGAAACATTGCCCTGAAAATGGTAACATCTGAGGACTGGACTGAAAATAAGTGAAAAAGCAGCCAATGTTCAACAGAAACCTTTGAGAGACTTTCAGAAAGCCTGGAGAACTATTATGTATTTAGATTTGAAATAACTGCAAGGTTTGGGTCCTGTTAAGCTAACATAAAGACATGATGCGTGGGTTGGGTTTTTTGCACACTATTGTAATCGATAAAGTTAGTAATGAGTCCATTGGTCTTGATGTGTATATTTGGAGAGAACACTCACCTGATCCAATTCATGGAAGCTTGTCACACATTTCATCTTCATTTTGTTCATATATGTTTTTATGTTACTTTCTTATGTATATATTTTTTTGCTAAGACAAAAGAATGTTTACTGTCTGCAGTAAAGAAATTGTCATCCAACACTGTATAAACATGGTTAGTAGCTCGAAAACATGAAATCTATATTCATGCAGATATTTACTGTAGATACTGTGTGTAATGTAAACGTCCTGCTCGTTGGGACATGAGGCTCCTTTATTATGAAATCTATTTATGATCAAATGCACTGGTGTATATATTTAGTACTACTCCATAGCACTTTTTATTCTACAAGTTACATTCGGCTATTCATAAGTTTTATTCTATGCACTTGTGCTGATACTCAGACAATAGGCATAGTATTTTTCCCAAGGACACTTAGGCATGCGGAATGGAGGAGCCGGAGATCAAACCACTTGACCCTTTGATTAGTAAATGACCTGTTCTACCTCCTGAGTCGCAGCTACTACACTCATTTTGTCTAGAGTTTAGATTAATATTTCTAACAGAAGTATTCATTTAAAACAGGAATGTAATTATTTCCCTATTTCCCTACTAGCAGAAAAGCTTAAAAAGTACAGATGGAACAACATCAAAGACAGTTTTTAAATACATAAAAGACCAGAGCAGGAAGCCTGAATGTGCAGAGGGATATCGTCGGTGACCACCAGTAACACTCAGGAATGCAGTCGACGTTTGGGTGTTAGGAGAATTAGGCTTAGAGGCCTTGAGGCTGTAGGTGTAGCCTGAACCCAGAGTGTCAGGACGCTGAAATTTCTGCTCTCCTTGCTACTATGACATTCATCCCTCACGTGTTCTAACCCCTGTGGCCTAAATCCCTTTCAACCCTCTATTTCTCACACATCTTCAAACAGCTTATGGTTTCTTATTAACCTGTTTTCTCACTCCCTCGCTCATAATCCTTCATTTTAGTTCAGCTCGCCAACTTTCCATCGATTCTTTGTCTTATCTTGCTCTCACAGTTTTTAAGGGTGGGAAAGAAATCAGTGTAGGTCATGGAGACCAAGGGGAGAAAAAAAACGGTGATATTCAAGAAAAAATAAAATGACCTACTCTGGTAAAAGTTGTACAAAGATTTGTGTAAAAATTTGTGACCTATGCATAAAATTTTATAAGCAGCAATGTAATATGATAACATCCCTTCATAAGATGCTGCACCTCCATTTCCTGTTAAAGTGGATATAGCTTTCCAGTTGCTATTATATACACTAATGCACCTAAAACTATATTATGCCTCTTACTAGCCACATTGTTTACATTTTCCCTTAGGAGGTGATAAATGCCCTCAAGCAGACTTGGCATGTCTACTGCTTTCTGTGTGCTTACTGTCAGCAACCAATCAGAAACAACACCTTCCACCTGGAGGATGGAGAACCATACTGTGAACCGGGTGAGTTATAATGGGGTTGATAAAATATCCAGATGTACTTCCTGTAATTGCCACTGTACTCATTGTACATGGTATAATCAAGCTCAAAGCATCTGTTATAATGAATAAAAGAAATAAGAAAAAAATCTAAACTATATTTTATAAAACATGTAGGTAGTGTATGGTCAATGGTAAGCTACATTTATAACACTTCTCAGGTTTTACTAACAACACAAAAATAATATAAAAGATAAAAAAGAAAAGAAAAATGGTGGTACAGTGGTTACCGTTGGTGACCTTGGGTGATGCTCACTCAGCCCAGCAGGCTGTAACTGCTAGTTATAACTAAAGCATGGATGGATTGATCATAATTATTTAACCCCTAAAATTAGTGTCAAGTGTTGATGTTCATTGTCACCAATAACAACAGGATCGGAAACAAAAACACCTGCTGATCACTCGTAAGCAGTGTGTGATGAGTGAGTGTTAAATGTACTGAATATCAGCATTTTCCTGATGTAGGACATGTTTGCCTGTTACCAGTGTGCTTGTCATTGCACACTAAAGACGTTACGTCTCCAAATGTAGGTTTTGTGGGAATTCCCTGTAGCGGTATACAATGTTTTTGTGCTAGAATAAAAGAAAAAAAAAAATCCAGCAATCTGTAAATAGATCAAAGATAAAAGTGGGCTTCAGTTGAATTGCTGCTCACTCGCAATGTGTTTTATATCCAGTTTCAGCTGTCGCGGGGTGAGAGCCAGAGTACACCCTGGACAGGTTTTCAGTCTATTGCAGGTCAAACACAGAGACACAACAAACAATTCATGCAAACATTAACACCTATACATTAACCAGATGGCCGCCCCTCCCTGAGCCTGGTTCTGCTGGAGGTTTCCTCCTGTTAAAAGAGAGTTTTTCCTTCCCACTGTCACCAAAGTGCTTGCTCATAGGGGGTCATATGAATGTTGGGTTTTTCTCTGTATGTATTATTGTATGGTCTACCTTACAATATAAAGCGCCTTGAGGTGACTGTTGTTGTGATTTGGCGCTATATAAATAAAACTGAATTGAATTGAAGTCAGAATCACCAGTTTACCTAACATGCGTGTATTTGGAGTGTGGGTGAACCTGTTGTACCCGAAATAGTTGCAAGCTCTCTTTGTTGAGTACTAAAGTTTGCTTGGGTCTTGCCATTATGACTTTAAACCCTTTGTTTATACCATAGTGACATGACTTTTCTCTTTGTCACTAAACAGACTTTTACAGCTTGTTTGGGACTGGCTGTCATGGCTGTGAGTTTCCCATCGAGGCTGGAGACAAATTCCTGGAAGCCCTTGGTTACACCTGGCATGATACCTGCTTTGTATGTGCTGTAAGTGAAGGCCTTAGGCATGAATCACAGTAAACTGCGTGCATCAGCAGACTAACACATATGACCTACTGTCACATTTACTCATATTCCCATTTCCAACTTTGAGCCATCAAGAAACTTTTATCTATTTAACTTGGACACAAAAAAAATTAGGAAGCAGTTTGAGGTCATAGTGGTACTTTCTGCTACTGGCCCTATTTAGTCCTTTCTGTCATTCTTTCTTGTTATTGTTAATGTACTACAACAATGTTCATTTTTATCCATCCTTTATAATGGAGGTTTTTGCAGAACAGCTTACTTGTAGCAATCTCATAAGCTCACCGTAAGTCATTTTTTCACAATAATATGACAGCAGTGCTTATTTTAGATGAAACACTGACTTACATCCATTGTGAATATTAGTGTAGGCTGGCTAACTTCTGTTATATAACCTCTTATTATTCATGTGTGCTGGGCTTTTTACAGGTGTGCTGTACCACACTGGAAGGCCAGACCTTCTTCTCCAAAAAGGACAAACCTCTTTGCAAGAAGCATGCTCATACACTGAAGATATGAAGCCTAAACTATTCACTTGGCCACATGTTGTCTCACGGAGGGTTGGAGACACCTTTTATGATGACAGTAGTAGTCATTATTGTAGTGGTGCTATCTCTTAGCACAAAAAGCAATAAAGCTTAAGGATCTTAGTTTTGACCACATTTCAACCAAATATAACTGATCTTTGTAAACTAAATGTTATGTTGTCAATCATCCCCAAATAGCAAGGTTTTACTGCCAACTGATACATTTTATGTACCATAATGCCATTTTTATTTCCTCACACATAGGACTGTGACTTTATCATTTACTTCGTTCTTCTGATTTTTGTCTTGAGTGGTGAGATCATCACACTTTCTGTTTTTATTATTAAGCTTGCACAGTGCTCATTATCTTTAGACACCACCAGAAATGTTTGATAATTTTAAGTATTCAAGGATGCTGGCAAGTTTTTATTGTTAGTTATGATATTTGTTAGTGTTTGTGTAGTTGTAATCAATTTTATTAATCTGGCTAAAACCTATAAAGACTTAAAGATGAAACTGTAGAACGTCCTGTGTTACACTTCGTTTTATTTTGTTTTTTGCATTACAGTTTCACAAGCAACTATTATAAAAAAAATTCCCAGTATATGCATTAAAATACTGCAGGATATGCTTGTGTTAGTTACTTTATACAGTTCATCTGTGAATGTCTGAGTTGTAATTAAAGCTGCTGCCTTTGATTTAATCAGTTATTTGAATGTTGTAATTTAAGGAAATTTGATTTCATTTTCTATTTGTTGAGTGAAACTGGCTACGACATTAAGGCACTTGAGCAAACCTGAACACCAAAAACGATCAAATGTTTTTCATAGATACTTTCACCACCTTTTATTAGATTCCTCTTGCTAGTTTGCTAGTACAGGGTTGGACCCCTTTTGCCTTTAGAACTGCCTTAATTCTTCATTGCATTGATTCAACAAGTTGCTGGAAACATAAATCTGAGATTTCGGTCCATATTGACATGACAACATCTGACAGTTGCAGATTTGTCGACTGCACATCCATACTGGGCTGTTGCCCATCTGCTTCAAGGTTTGACATGTTGCGAGTTCAGAGATGCTCTCAAGTCACTTAAATCAACTTTCATCCCCATTCTGATCTTCAGCAAGTTACCTTGACTATTTCTAGCATCTTAATGTATGATGAAACATTTGCATTAACAAGCAGTTAAAAATTAAAGTGAATATTTAAGTGTCTGGTGAATGTATATAGAAGTCCCTGTTTCTTCCTTGCTATGTGGACCAACATATCTTTCTTGACATTTCACATACTTTCATGAATCCTGTTCCCATTTTTATTTATTTTCTGCCATGATTTAGAAAGAGAATATATTTGCTTTAAAATCTGTTTCATACACTTCTCCTTATGCTTCATTCAATTGTTTAGCTCTGTTTAGAAAGTACATTTTTTAAAATTTTGTTAGAAGAGGAAAAAATGTTTGAGATGACATTAAGAAGAGAATGTTGTTATTTTAGAAACTGGTGCGGGGATTGGATGGATGGAGGGTAGTTGCTTGTTTTTTGACTGTCTACACACCTTTAACATGAGGACATTTACTTACTTATTGGTGCAGGATACATCCAGCCTATTTAGTTTTTTCCCAATGCTATTACAAATGACAACCCACTTTTTCACTCACTTCTTATAATTATAAATCTTGTTTTTTACTGTAAGGGGCTAATGGGCATGATTTAAGTGTTCAGTCTCTAAATTCTCAAGTAGAAAACTGTTGTTGGAACTCTTAAAATTGATCTGGTTTTTTAAATAAATTATGTGCTTTTAAATGCCCCAAACAAATATGTCTGCTATTTTTTTTTATAGTGTAATGATATCTAACCAAATTAAACTATTTTAACACAATTGTAGAGAAGTCATAGCCACTGTCAAGAGGATTTTTAACACATCTGCACTGCTGACAAATGTTAAAATGGGCAGACAGAGAAATAAAGGTGAAAATGAGGTAGTAAACGGTGGTATGTAGGGCACATCACCACACATTATTCCCATGTCCTCTATACAACCAGCATTTTTAATACAAACCAATCTTTGCACAATCAAACTGATTTTACTGTTATTGTAGAAAACAACGAAAATGAGATAACTGTTCGGGGATTTTTATTGAGAGTATATAAGACACATTAACAAACCCAGCACTGACCCTTTACACGCTGTCTCAATTGATGGGGCATGAGTCAGGCAGAAAAATTATCCAGTATAGTTGATGTCACATGGTAACATAGTTTAAGGAGTTAGCTCATAGCTTACTTATTTGATTCAGCATTGCTGAGCTAATGTTTACTTGTTATTGTAGCATGATGTATAATCCTTAGCATATAGGCCTATTTGATAGTCTTTTCACATAAGACTCATTTTAAAGTCCATCAAATTTAAAACGTTCTTAAGGGAAAATCTAAGCAAAACAACAAAAATACTGTGTTGTGCGACAAAGCCTGGATGTGTTTTTCTTTGTAATTAGACTGGAGTTCATTTGTGTTTAGGTGTTCCTTAAACAACTAGCCCTTTGGAGTGGTTTTAAGGAACCCATTCAGTGCGAGTCTTCACTCACCTTTCTCCTGCTAATGCACTCCTTCTCTTGTGGCATTAATCACCCTCCTGCAGCTGAGGGACCTTTGCAGAAACACAGTCGTGTGTGAGACCAGTGTGTGTGTGTTTAAGTGTAAAGAGAGCGAGGGAAAAGCGCGAGAGAAAGAAAAGCTACACTTGGAAACAGAGTGACTCGCGTCTCTACCCTGAGTATCGTGGGCTGCAACTTTTCCTTTCAGTCGACAAAAAGAAAGCCAGAAAGCATCCTAAGGTGAGTAAACACGGAGCAGACGCGAGTCGGAGATCTTTTTCAGTCGCGATTGTTTGTATTCACCTTGGGAAGTTTGACAGAGCGTTTTTTGTCGTTTCTCTCGGGGTGTTTACAGTCAGATTCACGTCATATCGACTTATTTTTGTGGAGCGTTTTTTAAGGCTTATCTCACTGCGTAGCTGTTCCTGAGCCACAATGTGATGGAAGAGAGAGAAGTTTAAGCGCTAGGAGGAGCTTTAATAGTTTACCCATGTCTCTGTTAGCGGTGTTTACGTTACACTTTACGTGATTGGGATTTCTGTGGCGTTGCTTGGTCTATATTTTCCAAAAGTGAAAAGTAAATTAGGATACATGTTAAATAACACGCAGTAGCGGTCAGCCAAGCTCGCAACTTCTTTTTTCTTAACAATCAATAATATGTGCTGTTATCAGAGGAATGCATGATGGATTCTAGATTTACACCTTATTCCTCTTTTTCTTGTTCTGTACTTTAATATTCATTTGTACAGTGTGCAAATGGTAGTTACTTAACGTAACTCTAGTTCTATGAGTTCATGTACAGCCCTGTACCAGGATTTACTGTTGGCTAATTTCACCAAAAGATACTAGGACAAGACCAAAGACTTTTAGCTGTGGCAAGTGAAAGGAGTAGGCCATTCTCCAGTCCCATCTGTACTCATGACTCTAAAGAGAGGGACTATCTTCAGGTCCCACCTTGGAATGATACATCTAGTAAGAGGCTTGGTGCAAGTCCCTTTTGCAATGTATGGAACTTAGGAAGTTGTCTGTCTTTTCCTTTAATGTGTTGTGCCAGCTGTGCCTTGTCCACAAATTTAGGATCCCAGATGCAAAGGGACAAGTAAAAGACTGTTTAGTGGATGGCTCACATAGCTATGCATGATGGTCAGCTGCAAACAATTCAATTTAACCTCAAACAAAACCTGAAGAAATTTCTGGATGCCCTGCGCTGGGCAGAATGGTGGCTTGATGGTCTGATTTTTTTTTTTTTTTTATTAATTAAAAAGAAGTTCTTAGTTTCTCAATAAGAGGGAAAATTTCAGTTGTGTGAAGAAAAGCATATATATATTATAATGACAGCTGATGACTGAATATTTTAATAGAATTGGCTTACAACTTGTAGTAGCAGTGACCCAACTTGAATTTTCGAGACTTGCCTGAGTGGGCCCCCTTATTCAAGGGCTCAAAAAGCAGGGGGGAAAAAATCAAATGAACCTCAACACAGCCTCCAGCACTGCCCCAGTATTCCCCATACACCCCACTTATACACACATAGGCATGCACATAGTATTCAGCTTTCTCTTTGAGACCAGTAACCAGGTCCAGGTGTTTGTCAGTGTAGCTTATGACAAGAGTAGGCTATATCTGTATGTGTGCATGTGTTCACATGAGCAAGCCTGCGTGAATGTCTGTCCAGATGGCATAATCCTGTGACTCCAAATCTTACCTCACCTCATCTGAGGGGTCCGGGACCGGTAACACAGGGAAACCGCGCAGGAAAGCACTCAGCAAGTATAAATTAGAGAAACAGAGGTCCAGATGTGTGTGTGTACGTGTGTGTGCGTGTGTGTATGTGTATGTGTGTGCGCCTCTGTGCGTCAGTGTGAGGGTACTGTTCTCCCTGTCTGTCAAACTAGTAAGTGTTTGCAGTTGTTGAGGCTTCAGTTGGAACAGCAATCTTATTTAGGTCAGGAACACATCAAATAAATCTGAGAAACAGCCACATTCTCAATTGGCTGTGTAATTGAGTTTTACACAGCAGCTGTAAACAGAACGCTTCCTTAATTTTCTGTCCTTGTGTATGTGTGTGTGTGTGTGTGCATCAGAGAGAGAAATATCAGACACTTAACAGTTTTAGACACCTCGTGATGTGAGACGTGCTTACTGCTGGAAATTTAGATCACATTGCTTGAGGTTAATCTACATTCTAAGAATGCCAAATATGCCTAAAACAAACTGAATTTGCGCTTGCCTAGAAAAAAGATAAGTGCAACACGTAGGAAGGACGAGGTGCTGCAAAATTGCACTGGAAAGTAAAGCTTATTCAAAAGTGTGACATAATGCCCTATTTAATATATTCGTGAGATTGCATAGTTTTTGTGTTAGTCGATAGATGTAAGCCTGTCTCTTTTATTTTGTGCTTAAATGTGTGATACGATTAAATGCAGGTAAATTGTCAAAGCAGTTTTTATTTAAAGATCTATTTTTTTCCTATTGTCAAACATCTGAATACAAAGTCTTTTATAACTGGGCATATAAAAAAATTACAATTCATACACTGGAGACAGGGACTGTTTTAGGATTTTATATGCAAAATGATTACTCATCCATGTCATGCCATGCAGTCAAGTGAAGTAGCTTTTGACACCCACTGAACACAGTAGACTCAGCATAAGCCTCAAAAAATCCCAGATTCCAAACTCAGCGAACGTTCGTGTTAAAGATTCTTGATGATGTTATGTCCATAACCGAGCAGGCAAAGTAAAACCTGAAGTACTGCTTTGTAGTTTTTATGTGTAGGCATCAAAAAATGAAGCTAAACCAGATGAAATAGGGGTTATTGAAAGGAATGATAAAACCATGATGCAATAGTGGGAGCTCGTAAAATTGATTTGTTCAAGTGTTCAGTGAGAGCAAATGGGTAAATGGCACGAGGTCAGATTTACAGAAATGTGCCATGTCCTTGATATTTCTGTTCATTCCATTCTGCAGTGGCTGCTTGCCAGACCTCACTGCTTTTATCTTTCTCCTTTTATTATGCTAACGACAGTCTTGATTTAAAACAATATCAGATCCCTAATCACAAGAATCAGATTACCTACGATGCATTAAATAAGAATGCATATGACAGTAGGGTTAATCAGAGTGTAAACAATCATTTAAGTGAACCATAGTGCAGTGTTTAGTTTCTCTAACATTTAATTTCCTCAACTTGATGGAGTTGATAAGACTCAAAAACAGATAAGAGAACTTAGCCTGGGGCCTTTTTCCCCCCCAAGACCTTATGCTCTTTAATTACAGTGTCAGTGTGATTTATAGAAACATTTGAGCATTTATCTCCACTCAAATTCTGAAACATTCTAAATTTTGGATTTTTTCTCAGAGTCCTCTTTGGTTCTAGTGTTGAGATAATGAACTGTGCCCAGCCTGCCTTAAATAGCCTCAAATCTGAGGCTCTGTTCTAAAAGGTTGGAGTGGCAAACACTGGAAACATCTACTGCCTAACCTTAATTATGTTAGATTACATTACAGATTTGATTTTCAACTTAACAGCTACCCTCCAACAACTCTTAAAAAAAAAAGAAAAAAAAAAAAGAAGCATTTGTCTCTTACAAAAAAATCACCAAGAATAATTACGTGGTTATACAACTCTATTTTGTAAATGTTTTGAAAAATAGCAAGAAATATAACAATAACAATACCAGCTTGTCTGTAATGTAAATTGTAATTGTTGTTCTTAGTGTGTTTTTTCTCAGCTGTAGAGCATTATGTTGTTTGTGTGATAGTTTTACTTACAGACGTCTCGTCTCGCCTGGCCAGATGTGGAACAACATGTTTAATCTGCTCAGGGTTTGCTTTACCTGTGGGAATGGTGCATCTAACAGCATTTGCATTCATGAATTTAAAATTAGGATTAGAACCCATTTTACTCTTTATATATGACATAAACAGTAGCACATAGTAATAGTTAGGGTGGCGGTGTAGTTAAACATCTTATAAGGTCAGACACATTTATGAAAACTGTCAGTCACAGGGGGGAAAAACAAATGAAATATAATGAATGTTTAGCTAGCAAAGAAGAAGAAGTCTATTTGTTAGTGTTCAGTGTTTAAGAACAGCTGCTTTTGCCATTTGAATGTGTAAAAGTGTTATAACGAAGACAAAAACAATAACATCATAGATTAACATACATGTCTGTGTTTTAATAAATGAGCAGGGCAAGCAAGGCCTGACAGAAACCACCAGTGAGGTGGATTTTTGCTTGTTTCTTTAAGTACGCTTCAGGAATAGTTCACCAGGCTTCTCGAAGGACATTCAAAGCTCTTCTTTAGATGTTAGCTGCCCTTTTTTCTGTTCTATATCAAGATGATCCCACACGGCCAATCCATGACTAGTGTCCATTAATTGTGTTTCTATCCACGTATGTTTTACTGCATTGTATGTTTGTGAGGCTGATAAATAAAGCCGTTGCCAATCAAATGCTTTTCTGATGATATTGCGTCGTGGATTAAAATTCAGATGTACTTTTCTGCATCCATAATTTCATCAATTTTGAGAAGATCCAAAACACCATTGTCTGAAATGCAGCCACAACCCATGACAGAGTGTCCACTGAGTTTTACACATGGCTGTAAACACTCTGTTGTACCTGTCTCCGGACCTTCTCCTCACGTACTGATAATGAATCAAAAATGTCCAAATTGATTAATTACCCCATAAGACCTGTTTGCACAAATTTTCAGTCGAGTTCTTATGTAATCTATTACAACTCAGACTGTTTCCTTTTCTTAAAAATAGCTTATTAAATGCCAACCTTCCACTGAGACCATTTTTTATGAGTATCAAAATCCAACTTAAAATTGTTTCTTTGGCAAGTTGTCCATTACAGTATGTGTAGAGACAACACTGGCTCATTCCTTTGAGTTGGGTGCCTTTTTTTATGAATGACTGATTCATAGCTCAGTGTTTAGTGGTTTAACAAACAAACAAAAATGTATTCCTCTGAAAATAGTTGGATACAGTGAGCAGACTGAAACCAAGAGAAACAGTAGCCAGTTCCCACTAAAAGACCTTCAGAAAGCCTGGAGAACTATTGCCCAAGGCCACTTTAAAGGCAGCCTGGCTTCCTGGAAGCAAAAATATAAAGAAATGATAAGTGGATCAAGACATGTGCACAGAACTCTAAAATGCTTTATATGGATATATCTAACAAGTTTTTTGCTCTTAAAGGGTTTTTCTTCCTCCTTAAGTCAGATATTAAA